TCATCAAGTAGTGTCGTCGTTATTCACTCCAAATCCGCACGAACCCCGAACGAACGTGAAGGAATAAAAATAACGTAACACCTGGTGTCAGAAGAAAAAAATAATGTAACCATATTTAAAGGTTCATCGTTCACCAATACCATAATAGCCAATAATTTTCGCATTTTAGCCATAACTGAAATAATTCAGTTCAGAATGGCACCAAGTTGGCTATAAATTATCAAGTTGAGCCATGCAGAGGATTTTTGTTCATATCTGTGGTTCTGTGATGAGGTATGTTTACAATTCAAACTTTCATCTATAATTGATAAAATCCATCATAATACGTGAAATAAACACTTAAAACTACAATAAGTGGACACAAAATTGATTAAATTGAAAAATATATAGTAAAATTATTACATAAAAGGCACTCAATAAATACATGACAGCAATACTTAATACTACAAAAATACACAAGCCTTACACGAAAATGAACAAAAATATTATCTAAACCTTTCGACATTTTTTCATTGTTCTGCCTCTTTTATTGTAATGGCTCTCGAATCCATGTCATTCATTGACATTCTTAAAGAATGCTGTTTTATTATTGGAATAAAATTAAATTTTATTTAGAATCAGTTAACAATTCAAGGCTGTTAAATATCATATATTTATTATTTGAGCGCCTACAAAGCCTTTATTTAATTCGCCAAGTGGGGAGATCCAGACTTTTTATTATCTCAAATATTTATCGATATAGTACAGATATCGATTCGAAACGGTTAAAGAGGTTACATATTTCACGCCTGACAAGGTCTGCAAATTGTTATAAACAAACTAAAAACAAAATTCCGTTTCCTTTGGAAACTGGAAGGGTTATCCAACCTACATGGTAAAAACCTTAAAGCTTATGGCGTTGCAGAAAAAGTGTTTGCTCTACGGTTAGCAAATCAATTCAATAAATCTAAGCTGAAAGCATTTACTGTCGAGATTTATTTTCCAAATATATCTTTAGAGCTTATAGCATTAAAAAAAACTAGAAAGGCTTCGATTTCAGTAGAAGAATTCTATGTGTCCCATTAGCCGCCATTTCTGGCCGCTGCTAGAAACTCTACTGCAGCTGAATGATTATGGAAGTTTCTGGCTGCATTAACATGCAATTTAAATTTTCTCAAATGTTTTTCCCCTTTTTCTGTTTGTTTTTAAGGAAATATTTATAAGTCTCGCAAGCCTCGATTCTCAGGTGTCATGTACATTGAATGGTACGATTGCATAATCCTGTTAAATTATTGATCTTTGCATGACTCGTGAAAGGTTTGACGTTATTGTTATTAATTCTGATTTCAAGACAACCCAAATCAGTTGTATGAATTTACCGTGGCAAACAGGGAATAAATAACGCCTGTTCTTGAAGGCTTGGATACCTCATAGCTTACAGTAAACGTTTGCACAGCTCTGTCCCAATTTTAAGTCAGAGCATACATTTTACTGCACTGGCAAGGCCGCTTACCAGCATCTTCTGCATACAACCAACATACCCCGCCCTCCCACTGCAATCGTTTATGTGCTGCTAGGATCTGTACTTTGGCAATCTTGTTGCCGGAAGATAAAAACACGAGCCTGACGGTGCCACGTGACCTGTATGTCTAAACGTGGTATACCATGACTTCGGTGACTCGGTGGCCTACAGGCCAAGTTGGTTAAGCCCTGTGTCAGAGGCAAGACGTGCGTCAGTCAGCCCGTGTAATTCTGGTAGGATCAAAATAACCAGTCAAACCTCCAAGTTCATAGCCGTCTCTATTTGCCGGGAGTGCCACTACTAAACTTAAAAGTTTAGTAGTGGGTTTAAGAGAATTTGGAAAGGTCCGTCGATCCAGGAAGTCTGGGACTCAGGGCTTCGGGAAAGGAATTTGTTCAACATCTCTAAGGTGTCTTTTGATGGTTTGCCCACTTTCCACCTGTTACGGAGGTTTTCAGCTGGAGGTACGTCACGTCAAGTCATTACACGTATGACACGTATTACGTCGTGTACGTGATGTGTAATTTGTCCGAACACGTAAACAGATTGATTGGTTGATATCCCACCACTATTCCCTAAGGTCATATGCACTTGCTTAGAATTATAATTTAACAACCTCCGCTCTGGAGGCATAAAATACACGAGGTGTTTGAGGGTAGCGGCGTCAAACATCTGAGATAAATTCTAGCGCCCAAGGATTTGATCTGGTTCTATCGTGTATAGAAATTTTAATCATATCATGTGGGAATGGGGCATCTGGTGATGTGTATAACAGAATCCGTCAAACACGGAAAAGAGAATAAGGGTGAGCACTCGTAGTTGCTTAAATGATTGCAGGAGCAAGTATAAAATATTTACTGATTGATACTCATCACTAGTGGAATCTCTTAAAAATTAATACGACAAGTTCCAATTACACTTCAGTCCAATTGCACAATAAGCATATATTTGTATTGTGTTATTTTTTGATAGCTCTCTTTTGACGGAAAGTTCTCGGAACATTTGTTCATGTCGTACTAATTTTTACTGCCTTTTGCCTCATGCATTTATTATATTTGCACAGAAATGAATTACATGCAATCCTATTATTTCTAGGCATGTATATGTTGCTAAAAATTTCTTAACTTGTTAATAAAACCGAATCCTAAATTTTTAATTTTTGCTGAGGTATTTTTCATTTAAAACCTCTTTGAAAACTGAGAGAAACGGGATAACAATTCATATTCCAAATTTAGTAACTACACAAAAAATTACATTAAAAATAAATAAAATTATGTAAATTAACTTTTTAAATTTGTAAGTAATTTTCTCCTTCCTTCGGGGTTTAATTAGAAACGCATCCTATTATCAATCTGAAGTTCTTTAGTTCGAATCTCGGCGAAGGCATTGCTTATTATTCTTGTTTCCTGCTGCAAAGGAGACCTGATGCATTCTATATATTCTCTAAGGAAGTTTGTTATTTTGCGACAAATATAGTTAAGTTTCTGAATGCCCTTTTTTGTTTCCTGTAAACGTACACAATTGATTTTTGAAGAAGGAGAGAAACTTTTCGATTCGCGTGGAAAAAAAACATTGAAAGGCCCACTACTCTCGCATTGACCCAAGAAAATCACATTATTCATTTTGATTTCATAACTGATATATATATTTCTTATCAAATAAGAGCGCGTAATGCTTTCATTTTAAGCGGTGCAAACAAATAAATAAAGAAATCGGGTTGATTTGTTATCAAATAAATGCGAGATGCATCAGGAATGAGATCATGACCAGACAGTCGTTTTGAAATTGCAGTAGAACGTGCTCAGAAAGTATATGGAAAAATAGATAGAAAACGCAAATATTTTGGATATCAAAAACATCTGCTTATCCTGTTTTCTGCAACATGACACGCATGACGATACAGCAATTGTATTACCAGATGGTAAGAAGATACCAGTTTTGCGATAAGAAGAGTTAAATGAATACTTATGGAAATGATATGCAGATAAAGGGTCTGTGATAAAAGATTGAATTCTATGCCGGTGGCAAATGAATAATAAATGTTTTACTTTGGCATAAAACTAACATGTTTTAAAGAGCGAGAACTGAGAAAAACTTTTGAACATTCCTTTCGAAGAAAGAAAACAATTTTTGCGCTATTTGCTTAGTATGTTACTATCTGTTTCAGTGAGATAAAAAACCATCTATTGGCAATTCAGATATTATTTTTTAGATAGAAGGCATACAAAGCAGCTGTCTTTAATCTTACTTACAGCTGAAGATTTGAAGGAACCTCCTTTATTTTGCATGTTGGTTAGCGACATCGTCTGCCATATTGTTCGGCCCGGGTTCGAATTTCAGAAAAGGCATGAGTGTCCGTAAATGTTCAGTGTCTTTGTGGCATCGGGACATTTAAAACACAATCAAGCTTAGAGTTTCTAGGAGATGTCGAGAAGAGTGTCTAAAATCTCCAAACATATTAACCGGCGACGAAGTCCTTGAGTACTTTCAGTGCCCTACTGCGGTGTCATGTTGGCTATTAACCGGCGGTTAGAAGTTCCAGTTACACAATTACGCTTCAGTTCAATTACACAATAAGCATATATTTGTATTGTGTTATTTTTGATAGCCCTCTTCTGACGGAAAGTTCTCGGGACATTTGTTCATGTCGTACTAATTTTTACTGCCGTCAGAAGAGGGCTATCAAAAAATAACACAGTACAAATATATGCTTATTGTGTAATTGGGCTGAAGTTGACGTTGAAATAACAAAAAAAAAAAGACTATCAGTCAAAAAGGAGAGGGAGAAAGAGAAAAGAAAAACAAAATTTACAGCAAAGAAATAAAACGTCACTTTCTTTTGAGAAAACTTCGGAATGGCTTCTAGGGTTTCTGGAACGTAGTAGGAAAGTAAAGATCAGGTTGCATTGTTGACCGCGTATGGGTGAGTAGCGGTTTTACGTTTAATTTATCTAATTATAGATGTGTGCCGCCCAACCGGAATAGTAGTAGCGACGCTGACTACCGTAGCGAAGAGCCCGGGTTCGAATATCGGAGAAGACATGAATGTTTGTAAATGTATAGTGTCTGTGCGGCATGGGAGAACTCTTAATATGCGAGGAGATGAAAATGGGATGAAATGGGGTGCTCTTCTTCAAAACTGTGCGGGGGGGGCTGAGCAGAGAAAGTCGTACTGTCACCTGTATGATGCCCAAGGTTCTTGGCACCGACAGGCCAGTATTGCTTTTTTGCCACCATGAATTTCATGGAGTTGATCTGATATGAAATAAGCAAGATCAGTCACAACAACAATTGTAAATGTTTTCAGATAGAACTAAGCTAATGTTTTTTTTCTCAAGGTGGAGAGTTTACGACTGGGATATCTCATGAGTGACACAGCAGCACTGTTGTCTCGAGTAAAGCGCTACCTGATGTCGAAAAAGCCCAAACTGCACTTCTGCGAAGGAGAACCAATTGTTGATGTCCTCCAAGACATCCAAACTATAACTCATGGCGATCGGAGAAATCACGAAGCTTGGCCGGTAAGAAAAAACACTTTATATTTTACTTGCTGTTTCTTGATTATAACTGTGAATTTATCTTGAAGACAAGTATTTCAATAATTATTCGACATGATTTATTTACTTGTTGATGATATTTCAAAGAAGAAATTCTTATTGTAGAACAACATGCGTCAAACTGTTTTCTAGAAAAATATATATGCGCTAATGTGACCTATTCGCCATCGACAAATTAAATTTCCTTTCTCTTAAAAGTACGTTCATGTTTTAGAAGTAAATATTTTCAATAAAAAAATTTTCAAAAAAAGCTATTTTATTTTAGTCTTCGTTTTGTATCTCAAGCTCACCACGTTACCGCACAGGAAAGACATCGCTTCGAATTGCTAGGGTCAAGAAAAGCTGCTGTTTTGGCTCGACACAGCTGTATGTATATTCATGTTGCGAAAACGCGACGGAACCCAGAGCTACCAAACTTAATACATGTGGTCTTCCACTCCAACATAGCTAGTTCGAAGCCGAATTTGTAATTTACTTTTCATTTATTTCATATTTTGTACAAATTTAACGACTTTTTGTTTAACAAACTCAGCGATGTGGAAGCGAGAAATGGCAATAATGTACCGTCACGCAATTCCATCCTCTTCAAGAAGTTTGTAGCAAAACAAAATATGTCACAATTCTTATTCCACATGTTTGGCACTTACTTTCTCTTTTCTAAAAGTGTATATACTTTGGTGAAATAAATTAAGAGAATTTGTATATTTTATCGAATTGCATGAAAGGAACTGAACTGAAGGAAAAACCACTGCTTCTATAAAAATGTAAATCTTGTACAGCAATACGTAGCTAACGTGTGATGGCGAGCCAGCAGAAAACAGGTTTATAAGCGCGTGCGGGGAAGAGATTGCGTCCTCTAACACACCTCGGCGATGCTTGTGTTATCTTGCGCATCGGTTAAATTCACTCGGAACAGTATAATGAGTAACCACCAACGTTTATAATGATGAATCAAGTGGGAATTGTGGTAGGCTAGAGAAAGGCAATCGCAAGTCCAGATATGCAGAGAGTTTAATTTAATGCCCAGCGTCGTGTGTAACCTATGGGAACAGTTCCAGAATACTGGATCCATCGAGAGAAATCCTGGGCAAGGTCGTCCAAGAGCCGCGACGGCCAGAAAAGTCCATTTTAGCGAGGCGTAACAGAGCTAGAGCTTCTGGGCTCTTTCAGGACCTGTATGCAGCCACAGAAACTCGTGTAACAAGTAGTGATGAGTCGGTACTACCGAACCGGGTATTTTGTAACGGGTACTTAGTTTACGGGTACTGAAAATCGCTACATCCAAGTACCCTTCCTTCAGTACCGAAATCGGTACTTTTGGTATTCGTTACTTCTGTACCGAAACGGGCTTTTTTTTCGGTATTCGTTACTTCTGTACCGAACGGTACCGTACTTTTCGGTATTCGTTTCTTCTGTACGAAACCGGTACCTTTTGTATTCGTTACTTCTGTATCGAAACTGGTGCTTTTCGGTATCGCTACTTTGTAACGAAATATGCGTCTCTTCTCGGTATTTCGGTATTCGTTACTGGAGGATCGATAGGGTCAGCTCACTTCAGTTTTGGACGAATTTGCGAAATGGGATAGCTCCTTGTGTCCATAATGCCTACTCCTCAGACCTTCCGTAGTTGACATGTTTTCTGATATTCAAAATCTTATAACGTACAGATAAATCAACCGTGGTGACGTGGCAGAATTCCTTCAGTGCGCAAATTATTAGCTGCGTATTTCGGTACTTCAAATCGTTTATAGGTACTTCGGTACCAATCGTTACTAGGGTACTCCGGTACAGCAAACCGTTACTAGGGTACTCCGGTACAGCAACCGTACTCCGGTATTTGTTACTTCGGTACTCCAAATCGTTACTGGGTACTCGGTACTGAAATCGTTTTCCGGTACTTTTCAAGTAACGTTACTTGATAACGGGTTTGCCGAGTACTTGTCTGTACCTGTTACTCTCATACAGGGTACAAAAAAGTACCGAAGTTGCCCATCACTAGTAACAAGGGTGACTGTTTCCAAAAGACTTAACGAGAGAGGGTTGTTTGCCAGAAGAACGGCTGTTCGCGCCCCGCTCACGTCTACGGGCAGGACAGTTCGATTAGCATGGTGCAGGCAGCATAGTGATTGGAGTACGGAGCAATGGGCGACCGTTCTCTTTACCGACGACTCCCGTTTTTGCCTAAACACCGATTCTCGCCTTACTTTCATATGGAGAGAGCCAGGGACCCGCTACTTACCCTCCAATGGCCGCAAAATCGACAATTATGGCGGTGGCGGTGTAATGGTCTGGGCAGGCATCATGTTGGATGGCCGCACACCTCTCCACGTTTTTGGCAGAGGCTCTGTTGACTGGTGTGAGGTATAGGAATGAGGTTGTAATATCTTGTTATTTAAATAATAACTATATTAATTATTGAAGTGGCAACGCCATATTTGTATGATGTAACTGTTGCCCAGCAACAGATAAAATTGTTTTAAGATTAGATTCTGAAGTTTGACCAGCTAGTAGATGTACAAAAATTTTGCCACATAAGAATTGTATTCAAATTATCTATCTCCGTAAAATAAAAATAAAATTTATGTTTTACTAAGGAGATTATCTGATATTGTCCAATTACATTCAAGTCTTGTAGCCCTTTGTTAGCCTTTCCAGGTGCAGTGGGCCCGTCTCATCTTACAGTACGATAACGCGAGGCCACATAGAGCTCTTCTGGTCGACGAATTTCTCGAGAGTGAGGATATTCGCCGGATGGATTGGCCAGCCAGGTCTCCAGACATCAACCCTATAGAGCATATCTGTGACGCTCTGGGAAGGGCAATTGCAACTCGCAACCCCCCTTCGAGAACCATCCAGAAACTGAAAACAGCGTTGCTGTTTTCCTGAGTTCCTGGATGTTCCTGGAGTGGGACCAATTGCCACAGCACTGATAAACTGCCTTATTTCCAGTATGACATCATGTGCATGCCCTAATGGCTGAAGAAGGGACCATATTCCCTATTAACACATTTCTTTTGTGTCTTCTGCAACCGCTGCTTCAGACCTTCAGACTTCCATGAGTGTTATACACGAACATGTGTGCTTATCATAAGTGTTGAATGTTTATTTTGTTTGTATTATATCAACCTATGTTCACACCAAATTTTATTAAAATGTGTTCAGTAGTTCTGGAGATCGTAGATCAAATATGAAAATTATCTTAATTTCGGTCACCAGTTTATTAAAGCAAAAATAGATTTGAAAACGTTACACATCGTTATAGCAAAATGCTTGAAGATTCGGATGATATTGTGAATGCATGGTAGTTTGTTTACTATTAAATATTTCATTTCAGTTTATGGCACTAAAATTTTCTATTAATTCAAATATTTGTCTAATTTTAGGAATAATCATATTGGATAATAAATAAATGTATTACTATGTTGTTACTTTTTCACCTCTTCAAATATCATATAATAGTTCCTTTATTTAAAAAAAATTTTAACTAATCCCAATATTTATCTTAAATATATGCTGAGAACAATAGTAAAGAATATTTATACCTTATTTTAAATATCTACTATAAATATGCTTTTGTTGTATTCGATAAATTCATCTTTCCGAATGCATGTTTTTTTTATTCACAAATTAACATTTTCTTAATTTTGTGAGTTTCATTCGAAATAACAATAGGAAATATCGTGTAAAGAATAATCAGACAACTGAACCTTTTAATAATTAAAATTTACTGAAGGATAATTCAAGTGGTTTCAGTCTTACATTTGCTTTCTGTACAAAAAAATGAGATAATTTCTTAAAGCTCATAAACGCATAAACCGGTTATGAAGAGGTAGAATAAAGGTGCTATTATTTTGCACTTTTTTCACATTCTGTATTCATACTTCTTAGTAATATTTTTGTTGTATATTGTTCTATTCTCTGTTGTTGTTTCAAAACTGAAATGAATATTTTCTAAAATGCTGAGATCGGGAGGAAGTTAATTATCAATATATTATCATTATTAAATTAATTATCACTAATTATCAATTTAGATTCGTATAGAATATTTAGAATTCTCAACTAACAATGACATATCTAAATATCAGTGAGTAACACTCACGTATTTTACTCGCGTATTTCCCCCCTTTTTCTACTAATTTTACCGCTTGAAAAATGGGAGGGGAAAAATACTGGCGAATACTCTTTCTAAAGAAACGTTTAAATGATAAATATAGAGTAATAAAAAACACTCACTAATAAAGACTAGAGTAAACATACAGCAATAAAAAAGGCTCACTAATAAAGACTAGAGCAAAAAGAGCAATAAAAAAGACTCACTGCTAAAGACTAGAGCAAATATAGAACAATAAAAAAGACTCACTAATAAAGACTAGAAAAAACATAGAGAAACAAGACTCACGAATGAAGACTAGAGCAAACAGAGCAATAAAACTCACAATAACAAAGACTCACTAATAAAGACCAGAGCAAACACAGAACAAAAGGCTCACTAATAACGACTAGAGCAAACATAGAGGGAAAAAAAGGCTCACTAATTAAGACTAAAGCAAACATAGAGAAACAAAAAAGACTCACTAATAAAGACTAGAGCAAACATAGAGCTATAAAAAAAGACTCCTTAATAAAGACTAGAGCAAACAGAGCAATAAAAAATACTCACTAAAAAAGACTAGAGCAAACATAGAGCAATGAAAAAGACTCGCTAATAAAGACTAGAGCAAGCATAGAGAAACAAAAACGACTCACTAATAAAGACTAGAGCAAACATAGAGCAAAAAAAAATTCCCTAATGAAGACTAGAGCAAACATAGAGAAACAATAAGACTCGCTAATAGCCTTAGCTGTCTCAATGATATTCTTTTTACTTACACAAAATAATTTCTTTATTTTTGCACACATTTTGTATCGTTATCATAAATGAAAATTTTCCAAATGATATGTCGAAAACTCTGGGGGGGAGGAATAAGCGAGGGGGAGGAAATGTGCGAGTAAACACGGTATATGCTATTTATTTTCTATGCGTTATTTCAGAAAATAATGAGTATGATGCGTGGGTGGGCATCATTTCCGCTCGCAGAGCCGTTACCTATATATCGAGAAAGAAATCTGAAAAATCAGCGATACTCTAGCACTATTTCAAACTTACTTACACAAACGGACCTACCGACCACAAACGGACTTATGGACCTATCGACTGCTAGCCTGCCGTGCTTCTACTTACAAACAAAGGTGCGCGCTGAGAAAGGAGAACATTCTTTATAGATTTAACACCCATAAAGAAAAGGCTTATATCAAAAGCTATTACAGCTGTCCTCAAATTGCGTTCCACGAATCCTTGGATTCCTCTATGAGTTCCGTGAATGAAAATCAGAATTCGAAAGAATTTTTGAAGTAATAAAAATATCAGTATAAATAATACAAAATAGATCTGCTTTTATTAGTAAATTTATATTCAAATAATGATTTTTCTTTCATTTTTCTGCTAAAGTGCGCCCGTCATCGATACATTTTCGAGGTTTTAAAAAGAAAAAAAATGTTTTTTTGAATGTTTTGCGGGTCCCGAAAAAACTTTTATAATTTTATGTCGTCCAATCTTTTTCAAGCATCTCAATATGAAACAAGACTGAATACATCTTCCTCGATATCCTCTGGTGTGGAAGAACATCACACAATTTATTTGCACAGAAAGTAATTGATTAAAAATTCATAAATGTGTGAGGTACTCTATCTCATTTTCGACTAAAGAACTTAAAATCTCGTTCGTTTTTTTACTTTAAATTTGTTTCTACATTTGCCTAATTATTGAATCAATCAAATCTACCAGCATCTGTCGCCATGGATTGATAAGGTTTTTTCCTTCACTCTGTATTAGACGAATGGGGAAGTTGGACAAAATCTTCAGCCCTATTTCGGATATTTATTAAACTCTGGCCTGATACCTTGCCAGACACATCCGATACCGGTGATATGAGCTTTCTAAACGTTCTAGAATAAAAGAAAGAGATGATCGAATTTTAAGCATCTGCCGTGGTACCCACCTATAACTAGAATCTAACTTCGTGTATCTCTTTCTTATAACGAATCCCTTTTTCCTTTAAATCACCGTGCAAGGAATTTTCTTTCCAACTACTGAATGTAAATTTGTGTATTGGTAACAACTTTGTGCCGACTTCAGAAAAGGACAAAAACCTATCCCCTCCCTCTACCGAAAGCGGTGGACTTTTCCCATCGTGGACAGCTGAAAGCTCAATAGCTCCCCTCGACTTCAGCATTTCACTCAGGCTCCCAGAGCTAGCGATGCAAGATGTACGCCACGGTGTATATGCGTACATCTACGTGTTCACGTGCGTACACATAAAAGGGTGTACGAGCTATCTTAGATGTAGAGCTATACGGCCCGCTTCCTCAAATGGCAAATGCTTCTACTATCCCAAGTTGCTTCTCGCTTAGTTACCGTAGTTCATCATCACACCTAAGACTCTTTTTAATGCAGACTGGAATGAGTAGTTTATCATGCTGTTACATTAACTTCGATTTTTTTCGCACGACTAACATGACTTTGGATACTTCACACTGAGCATCTTGACATCATGAAATTAGGCCTTGCCTTTTTCTCGATTTTGCAAACCTAGCAATGATAGCCATAATAAGGATAAGTGCTGGATTTGAACATAATCCTACTCAAGATGCGACTTAACACTCAGGGGCCTGCAACTAGTGACCAGTTGACCTGAGAGAAAGAGATTGCAATTCAAAGAAAAGAAATGGTCGCGAGCTTTTTCGTTCCGTTGTGGAAGAAAGATGCACTTTAAATTTTCTTTAATCACTTTAAATATTTTTCTGCATATAATAAGAAGGTGTATTAGCTTAAAACTGCTATCCACGTCATTTATTTGGCAACCCACCAAAGCCAAGAATGTCTAAGTACAGATCCCAGCAACCATAATAAACAATCTGGGGTACATTTGTATAAGAAGGATATAAAAGATTTCATGTAAATATCCTTTATCGTGTTTTTATGGTTGTCACTTAGTGTGTCTTAAATCCTAACGTTGATCCTATCATGATCGTAGATCAAATGAACATAGTGCCATCTTTTATCCTTAATTTAAACCACAACACTATAGCCATGTGTTATGCCGATGAGGCCATAAGTGTTACTAAAAGGTCATAAAAGTATATTATTTTGCAGTATATTGCTGACACGAATGAGTACATTATGGAAACATGAGTTTTAAACAATGAAAGATTATCTTTTTCTTGTTTAACATAGACAAAAATCCTGCCAGTTTTGGATTCAATGCAATCAAATTTGTTTATGCACTTTTCACTGAAAGTGAATAATCAGATCGAAACTTCATTTATTGTTATGTATGTGCAAGTGGGACTGATTTGAGTTAGTGAATGCGGAAGTGAGTGGGATAAGGTCAATAGACAGACAAGATTATGCTCCTTTAAGGCAAACCTTTGTTTCTTTCCGACTTTCGACACAGTAGCGTATACTCTCTATCTGTTCTGTGACGTCACTTTATTCGTAGAAATGGAAGAAGCCCTGCTTTAGAACAGGCCATCGACGTCACCATGCTGGCTGACCTTGGTCGAGAAGAGCAAACCTTTTAACGTGTGGTTGAATAAGTGATGAAAATTTTGAGTTTATTGCAGATGAGGATGAAGACGGGATTTTATACGAAAGAAGCAGTTAAGCGTGTCTTTATTCTTCATGACATGCGCTCAGTATTCCCTCATCATTAGCTTGCGCTTCACATTTTCAAAAAATTAGCGATATAAGAGAGACGACTTTAAACATATCTTAGCTACACGGAGAATTATGCGAAAATTACAATATTGAAACTAGATTTTAGCTAAGATTATCAAAGTTAGGATTCTGCTTTGTCCCTTGATAAAGGTTACAGTTTTACTAGCGTTTTATTACTATTACATAGAACACTTAAGTTTCATTTTTGCTCTTTGTGTAAATATATCCATCAATAGCATTCTGTAAGAATACTAACATGCGCATTATCTCTCAAATGATGTATTTCAGAAAGATTTATTATAAATATATTGCTATCTTTAGGCTAAAGTGAGAAAATAACCAAATTAAGAAAGGCGGCTTGAAAGCTATGAAAAGTTAAAATTAGAATCGGACTTTATATATAAATTATAGGTATTTAATAAAGATTATGGTTTCGTAATAATTTAGAATATTAGAAATTATTTTTAAAATGAAATTTTCTTCTGACATGCTCTTTATACTTTCTGAAAACGCCATTTTAATTACATTATAGAGTATAGTTAAACTTTCAAAGCCTTTTCACATTGAGGTATCCCTTTTCGCTTAGAATACTTTATTCTCACCAACAGTCTTTAATCTAATTTTAAAACTAAAAGTTCGGAGACTAAAACACTAACTTAGAGAGAACGTCAGCTTGTTTTCTATTACAATTGAGCTTAAGGAAATACTATATGATACCGATTATGATATGGAAAATCCTTGGAATTCCACCCAAACTTTGGCAAAACGATGGGATGTATTAAGTCCAAATTAATATGACACACTAAGGAGAGAATGAGAAAAAATTACAATTATACGGTATTTATTTGTAACATTATATTAACAAAACATATTACATCATTAGTAATAATGAAATAAACTATAATGACCTCTCGGTTACATATTTTTAAAAGATTGAAATTTAAACATTTTCCACGACATAACGCTTCAGCATCATCTATCGTTGAACGTCTGAACTACAATGTGTGTATGGTAAAAGAAATTGCCTTTGTGAATTCTTAAAATATTTTAAAACTTTTTCCTGGTAAGTAAGGAATTGTTTGATAAAGTGATTGATATATTTTGTATTTTTAACAGACATTCCTTGACATTGCATCCGCTTTATTGGAGTCTCCTATTTTAATCAGAAAAGATTCAGTAAGTATTTATATTTATTGTAAATAAAAATAATGCTATTAATATTCAATATTATTAATTTTCATTTTATGCTAATAAGTGTGTTTACACATTCTTACAAAGATTTGCATAAAGAATTAAAAAGACCAAGGGTTTTGGAATAAACCTTTCTGGCAACAGCTATTTATGTGAAATGAGGAATAGCATCTTCTACTTCTAAATTTATTCTTTCAAAATGTAACAAGTAAAAAAGTTGTGAAATGCTGGATAAGTTTTCCGCTTTCGAGGAACTATTCCTATCCATTATTCAAAACATGCTGAATGCCTGGCATTAAAACTCTATTGTAAAAACTTCAACACTATTAAGCCGAAGGAAATTACACTTAAAAGCTAAAAATAGTTTGCCGGATATTGGCTCATACAACACTTTGTAGAGTTTGTATGAAACTACACTACGAACATTGAAAATACAACAAGAAGGATTGCAAAAGTGATGAAACTCGGCAAATAGAAAGAGACAGCAACGAGCACTAAGTGGTCTTTATTTCGAAATGATATGCATTATACAGAGCGAGAACAGCGGCTTAGTAGGTTGGTTGTTTGATTGGAAATACAGTAAGACACCCAATGTTTATTATGAGTAAGGCTCAGAAGGTTGCAGGACCACTTTGGGGGACGATACGAATCAACATGTCTAAGTACAATGAGACTAAGGATAGTTAGTGTCAATGAGGAATGGCTCCCCATTCTTTGTCAAACATTTGCCATAGTTGGCTTTTTGAACGCTTCCATGGCAAGGTGTACAAATGGCGTTCAATCACGTCCCAGATGTGTTCGATTGGTGAAAGAATAGTAGAGAACGCTGTCCAGGAAGCATATGTACAAATTGTAGAGTACGTTGGCCGATGCAAGCAGTGTGTGTTCGGGCGTTATCCTGCTGATAAAGGGCACTGGGCATTCCCTGAAGGTAGGGGAGTGTCACAGGCCGCAGCACATCATCCACGTATCGTTGTGCCATCATAGTGCCCTGAATACGAACTAGACGTGACATCGCCCCGAAACGTACCCGCAATTGCCAATTGTCGCGCGGTGGGGCGTTCCACAATTGCTGCCGGATTGTACCTATCTCCACAGTGACGCCACACATGTACTATCATTAGAGGTGACTATCCGGGGACTATCATTAGAGAAACAGAAGCGTGACTCATCTGAGAGCATGACCTTGTGCCATTCCGTATTCCACATCACTCGAGCTCGACATCATTGCAGACGCTGGTGTCTATGATGTGGGATCAATGGCAGTCTTCTTAACGGACGCCACGAGTGCAGGCCACTAGCCACCAATCGACGGCAAATGGTTTTGGTTGGTCTGAGAAGATCCAGGGTGTGTTGACCATGCTGCAGAATGAAGGTAGAAGTGGCTTACGGGTGCGCCACCGCTTGTCGGCGGATGAGTCGATCCACGCGTGCTGGCATCCCTCTCGCTGCACCGGCACCCGTCGAACTTGCCATATTTCCTTGTCCCATCCATCATCGCCACAGCCCGTGCATTGTGGAAGCGTCCATTTGTGTGTCAGCTAAGATTTGCGGTATGGAGAAACCTGATCTTCTCAGTCCAATCACCATACCTCTGGTAAAATCGTCTGTCTACTGGAACCGCCTCCTTTGATGGCGGCCTGGCATTCTCTGGCTATTACCGCGTCCGCTGAGACAAGAACCAATTTTCTACCATGATTTCTTTATCAGGAGTAACGGCACGAAAACTGAACATTCTTATATCTTCTTAAAACTGCGCTGGAGAACTGCGCATTTCACATCATTTGCATAACTCGTTGACGTGCGTTTACCCTGAAATTTGCATACTTTTCGTCCCCCCTCTTGGTGTTGCATTTTCAATGTCGGATAGTGTATTTAGCAGGAGATGAATGGAAATGCATAGTGATCTACGATGAAACATGGGTTTACCTAATTGCTGAAACTAAAAAAGAGATCTATGTATTATCGAGAATGAAAAGAAAAAAATGTTCAAACTCGGTTCTGTCAGTGTAAAGAAAGTTTCAGTAAAAAGTTTAATGATTGTCACAGGGTTCTCCTACAATGAAAACCTAAAAATAAGAAGATTGGGTAAAACCGTTAATTATTTCAAATTACTTTCAAGGGAAGGTTTTACGTCCGTTATATGCAAAGAAAATTCCATTTCTTTATCCCAGTGACTCTGAAGGACTGAAATTTCATCAGAGCAATAAATCACACTTCGAAAAGTAGCACTGCATTGCTTAAGATAAGGAAACCTAACACAGGTATCGGATATGTACCTTTTTAAAGTATTCCTGCAAAGTCGCTTGACATTTCACCTGGTGCTTTACTCCTGTTCGTTTTTAATGGAAATAAAAATAATATAAACTGGGATTTCAAACAACTAAAACCTTGAAATCTTTGCAACAGCGTTTTTGAAAAAACATTTATAATTTAAATGCAGCAAAATAATGCTTTCAAAGGCTGCATGCACTCCACGAGCCACCAATTTCAGACAACCAGCTGTCGTCACCATGGTTATGAGGCATGCCGGGCGGAAGCAAATGATGTTTCCATTCTGAAATAAAAGACTATAGCAGCCATATGATATTCTTTACATCTGATCAAAAATATTGTTACACCTAAAACAATTATTTGAGAGACTAAAAAGTGCATTTGATTAAAATCAAGTAATATTAAATTTATATATATATATATATATATATTTAACTCAGTCTTTCATGAAATGATTTTTGAATGCATGTGTTTGTAAACGTACTGCATGTCATTCTCTCTAGCATAAATTGTTATGAAGCGAGAGTAATATTCAGTTTACTTACATGTGCTTCCCTTATTCATATTTATATAGCTTAATTCCTATTTCCATACTAAATACATTGCGTTAAAATTCATATTAACATTTTCTGTTCCCCTTTACTTTGTCCCTAAACCTATTCTAAAATTCGTCAGAAGTCTATTTTTCTGGGAGTTCTAGAAATCATTTTTCCATAGTTTCCGCAAACTATTGTTATAGGACTCTGAGACATACGAACTAACCATTCAAAGGTACAATTTAATATTATTTGACTTATTTTTCCGATCAGAAATGACTTTACTGCTCCAGTAATTTCAAATTTTTGTTAAAGCAAAGTAGTTTTGGAGACATCATTAAAATATCTTTTTATAGCTGCTTTAAGAAAGACTTCCTTCTTTATAACGTTAGATTTTTCAATTGTTGCTTTTAAATAACGAATATTCGATTACTAAAGAAGAATTTGAGCAATTCAAAATCATTTATTTTTAAATGCTTTTGTGATTTTTAAATTTCTTTTTTCTTCAGTTCTCTAAAACTTTGTGAGATTCAAGTTTCACATATCCTAACTTTTTGAAGCTTTATTAACGAAGAAATTGGAAGCCATTTTTACTCTGAACAATATACGTTTTGTAATTTTATTGTTTATAAATTTAAATTTGAAGAAATAGAACTTTTTCCACACTTAGATCATTTTCACAGTTTTTTAAAGTTTTTTGTATTTAGTCTGAAACGGCTTTTAGTTTGAAAGATTTTGCGTTGAATCACTTTAAATGGTTTATTCTACTTTTCATTCGAGTCTGTTCTTATTCGGAAAAATATTAGATATTTATCTTCCAAACTGAGACTGTTTGATTAACATGAGGATTGCTATTGTAACTGGAAGTTAGAATTAAAGTCCTGCGGACTCTACTAGACAAATATCGAATTATCGCTGCGTCTTAACAACTGACAAAATATCGGAGAAGGTTAAAATAACCTTTGTTACTTTTACTTTGCAGCGACATTAGGTTATTTTAAAACAGGAGAGATGAAAAATGAGCAATGCCTTCACCAGGACTCGAACATCGGACCTCTCGAATACGTGCCGAGTGTGCTGACCATTACACCACTACTAACGAATGCTAAGAAGACGAGAGAAATACCTTATATACTCCCCCTTTTAAAGGGCGACTGGGGATTAGGACCATTCGCCATCCTGGTGGGGAGACATAACTGCCACCTTTTTAGTTCGGGAGCTACTGTAGACACATTAGGTTATTTTGAAACAGGAGAGATGAAAAATGAGCAATGCCCTCGCCGGGACTCGAACCTCGGATCTCTCGAATACGCGCCGAGTGTGCTGAACGTTACATCGCGAAGGCATGCTAAGAAGGCGATAGAAATACCCTATAGCCTTAATATAACAGAACAGGCACAACTTATGCTATAGACGAAACTTCCATATCTTGTATACCTTTAAATTAACACAACAGACAGTTCAAATTAAACGCTGATAACGTAATCTAAGACTACATTTTGTAGTGTGTTCAAAGTGGCATACTCAGCACATACTTGGGATTCAGTAATATCTTGCATTCTGCCCTACTTAAAGGGAAAAGCACTAGACCCAGTCGACCACAACCAGGTGCGAACAACTTATCGTTCTGCACATTTTAAGTCAGATATCATCGTGCACAGTATCGTCATAGAAAATTTTCTTTGCTGGAAACGTAGAGATTTAGATTTGCTCTCTTGGCAACTGAGTAAGAATTCTAATCAGGGATCTTTCAGTTGCTTCGTACATAATTTTATTTATGATATTAATTCCTGGTTATTAATGTTACATTAATTCATATCATATCAGTTTTTATTTACTTGTTATTACTAACTCTATTATTCTTATATTTCTGTGTTTCTCGTGTGACTGAAAAGCGATAATAATTAAAATTACTATTATTTATTTATATTCTTATATTTCCAGAAATTGCTTCTCCTTCATGATCTCATCTTCAATTATGGCTTCCAGTATGTTGAAAGAACAAATGAAGTTAGTTTTGAGATGTTTCACAGGAAAGTTTTGGGTAAATATTTATTCAATTATTAAAATGAAATTTTGTGAATTTTCGACGTATTAAACTTCTGATCGCCTAGTAGGTAGGTAGGTAGGTATGGTATAGCGCGGTCCACCCTCCTGCTATAAGGTAAGCCCAAGCTTGCCTTATGGCTTTTCTAGACCGGCAATCTGATCGCATAGTATTTGGAAAAGAATGCTAAAGTCTTAAAGTTATACTGATGCAGGAACATTAAAAATGTGCAATGCCCTCGCCAGCATTTGAACTCCGGAACTCCCGAATATGCGTCGAGTGCGCTTCCAATTACATTACGAAGGCATGCGGAAATGAGAGAGAAAATGCCTTGTATACTCCTCTTTTAGAGCGATTGGGAATTAGGAGACCCATTCGCCAAATCCTGGTGGCGGTCCACCACCTTTCTCGTTCATGCGTCACTTGTAGAGTCATTCTTTCGATGTTAAAAAACGAAGAAAACCGCAATGCCGTTGCCTGAGTTCTAACCTCCCTAACACTGCTGTTACACCACAAAGGCATGCGGAAAGCAAGGCGAAACTACCTTGCATGTGTTATCTTAAATGTCTTATGAAATTTTAAGGAACGTGGTTTTCTTTGTTTAATATCTGCACCCTCTGTCCGAAACGTACCAAGACTGAATTCATAAAAAGTAGAACCAACTTAAGATGAAAGTTTTAATGCTTCAGGTATTCAACATAGACATTTGACTGAAATGCACAGAAAGTCCATACAACCATATTAAACTGTAGGAAACGTCCTTGCTAGGGATGTTTTTATACTTGCGTGTCCCTGTCGCTTGAATGTCGGTTATGTCATGATAGCGCTGAATGTTCATGTGAAGTTGCATTTCCGGGAATAAGGAAATGTGATTCGGCAACAAATCAGGTGAATATGGAGGAGGGTTGAAGCACAAATATTTGCTCCTGCACAACTTTGGCTGTGTGAGTGGGTGCATTATCGGACAGCAAGAAGAAATCCTCTTCCTTCTAGCTTTCCGAACGATTCCGCTAAATCCTCTTGTACAACCGATCCATGACACTCCGATAAAACTGAGAATTTAAGCTGCCACCGTCCTTATAGCGCTTATGTCGCTTATATGCCAGGAAGAAAAACTGTCTCGGAACTTTTCGGATTTGCAAAAGAAAGGCATTAATCATAAGAAATTTTTCTTTCACATTTGGCAGATTCTAATTACAATGCCTTTATATGTATGAAATAATTAACCAAAATGGCTTATTAGATTATAAAGCACACTAGAACTTATACTTACAGGAAGAGGGGCTTTAGGGAAAGCCTTTTTAAGGAAAACTGTTTCGTATGCACGTTACATAAGATGGAAACCACGAAAATTCTTATACAGCTGAAGTACTAGCACCCAGTAGTCTTCTGTTATGGCTGTAGTGGCAAACAAATGGGTTTCTTTCTGTGTTTGGAATTCCATTTTGTAATATGCAAAGAAATTGGATTTAAATTAATGTAATATTATTTAAAATTACCGTAAACATTTTTATGCTGCCATCGCCTTTCCTCAAAATTTGCTACGAAACATTCCTAATTAATAATAATGGAAATTTAATTAATCATTATTTAATTAGTAGCTGAATTTTGGTTCTTTATTAACCCAAACGGAACGTTCGTCCCGAATGAGATATGAGTCCTAAAACGGCATTTTGCGTTGAATCACTATAAACAGCGTATCACTTTTCAGATTGTTTCTACGAAATATTATCGCTCTGTATGATATTTAAAAAAGTTAAGTAATGAAAAATCTGCATGAATGTATGCATGATTCTCAAACTGTGAAAGAAATAACGCTACCAGAGCCATCCAGTTTTGAATAACATAATCCTCCACCCGAGTATGGGCTTCTGGAAGCCCAAATTTTGAATTTGTTTTATTATCTATTTTCATATTTTGTAAAACTTTAAAGAATTTTTAGTAACAAACTCAACGATTTCAAAGCAAGCAGAGGCAACACAGTACGAAATAAAATATTTTTATCTCCAGCGCGCGAGACTGTCTATCGGAAATTCTATAGATATGTTGTTTTTAAATATTGTGTGATTTTGCTGGGGAATCGAATTTTATGTGGCGCAAACGCCAATAACGTGATATTTAATAAATAAAATAAACACACAAAACGTTAAGATGCAATAACACGCGGAACAAATATTAATTTAAAAATCAAGCAACGAAAATCAGTGTTATATTTTCAAATTTTCTCAGGACTAGTTTCGATGGTTTTATCGAACCATCATAGCTGAGGATTTTAATAATAAAAAGACAAAAAAAATTTGTAAAGCCTCTAAATAAGAAAACTGAACATTGATAAAATGGCATGAGAAAAGACTGAAAAAAAAAACAGAAACATGTTATGCCAACACCTAACGCTGCATCAAGAATTCTAAAGGTATGACATTTAAATGCTACATTTAAAATTTTTGTAATTTTTCTGTTGAATTGTATCAGACGAAAGTACGAAGAAAATGGGGCTTAATAATAAAGCTAAAAAGACAAAAAAATATGCTTAATAAGAGTGAGTGTAACAGTAGATTAGTAGACTGCGAGCTCAGCGAGACCGTAAAAAACCTTAACAAACCCTTTTGGGTAATCTTTAAAATCTAAAACCTTTCATATTTGTATATAGTATAAATACTTTCCTCTGTGTGTTTGTTTCTCAGCGTTCGGTTTAGAATCCATTCATTAAACATTACGGCCTTCCAATATAAAACTTCTGAACATCTTGTCTAATTTTTAACAAAATAAGGAAATTAAATAGTTACTCCAATGATTAGGAAATCTGACACCATTTTTGCTTTGAGGAAATTCATTAAGAGAAACGGCTGAGGGAGTATTAGAAGAAGCTCGTGCCGCTAGGCTGTAAGCAGATCACATACTGCTAGGTTTTGGAATCTGTTTAATGTTTGTTTGAAAAGAGGTCGGGAATGCTGAATACGTTGTTTCGTGAATAAACTAAATTAGTCATCAGAGTATTTGCAAACTGGATGCTTTTATAAGGAAACGAACATTGCTATGTAAACAGTATTAACGAAAGAATTTAATTAACAAATGCTCAAATATAACTACATACTTCGTTTATTCCCTTCAAACTACCGGAAAAAAATTCAACCTTTGTTAATGGAAACACGCTATTTTCTAGAGTGAGAGTTAGTTCTTAATTAGAATTTATCTCCCAGCTTATAATGCCAGATGCGTTGTCGCGCAGAAAGACCGACATTAAAAATAGAATGCGTTCTAAATTCTTTCGTGAAATACTTTGTTAACAGAAATAATAAATTACTTAAATTCACATATTAATGAGTAATCCGAACGCAGCAATTCTTATATTATATCACAATGGATTATATATATTGTGTTTGTAAAATTCCTTTATTTTCGCATTTGTTGATCGTAGACTGGTTTGTCCAGTTATAAAATGTTTTAAATTATACAAATATTCAAGTTCGAGAATTTTTAAATTTAGAAATCAGTTTTGTGAAAACTGGGAATATCTAACTTCTTATACGGTCTCCTGATCTCTATAGTTATGTATAGTAAAAGTTTAAATTCATTGTAAAAAATAAAGCACTAAATGTTTGCCTAAAGTTGGGGATCTAGCTGTGATAATTTTTGGGGAAAATGCTTATATTTTTTAATTTATTTACAATTTCTTGATTATAACTGCTGTTTTCGTAGCATAACTATCCTTTCATCATCTTCTCAAAAAAAAAAAAAGAAAATAAAAACTTCCGCAATTTATTAATTTTGGTCCAAGAAATATTTTTCAAAACTGTCTATTAAAACTCGCTCCGGAATTAGTACATATTTTAACTCACCTGAGCAAGTAGAATCATTAAAATCATCAATATTTTAAAATCATTTGGACAATTATTATTACTTGGCATAGTAACAATTAATGATATCAAGTGTTTTAGAGTACACGTATAAGGTATTTTCTCCCTCCTTCCTGCATGCTTTTGTGGTGTAACGGTAGCACACTCGGCGCGTATTGGAGAGGTGCAGGTTCGAGTCCCGGTGAGGGCATGCACATTTTTCATGTCTTCTGCTTTAAAATAACCTAAAGGCTCTACAAACAAAAGATAAAATTATTTAAACAATCAACCTAAACGTTTAACTTCATCAGAATTGCATCAAAAACAAATTACAGTTTATCTCCTCTCACACATTTGATTTGCGCCCGCGTTTTGCGAATTGCATCCGTTCTTCTTCATCAGAATTCTGTTAACTGAAATAAATTATAGACTGTTTCCTTTCGCACATTTAATGTGTACCCACATTGCATCCATTTTTCTTTCATAAAATTGCAGTTAACACAAATTATAGACTATTTCACTTCACGCATTTAATGTGTACCCACATTTTGTAAACTGTGCATTGCATCCATTCTTCTTCATCAGATTTGCGGTTAACACAAACAAATTATAGATTGTTGTCTTTCCCACATTTAATGTGCGGCTACATTTTTCAAACTGTGCATTGCATCCATTCTTCTTCATTCGAATTGCAGTTAACACAAGTTATATACTGTTTCATTTCATACATTTAATGTGTACCCACAGTTCTCAAAATGTGCATTGCTTCTTCACCAGAATTGCTGTACACATCTTCGAAAGTTAAGCTAAACTATTTTTCTTTTTCAAAATTTGTATCCGAGTTCAAAATCATCTTCTTCACCATTGCGACGTCCTCCGTTACACTGTTTTCGAGTATTTGTTATTGATCCTGGGGGCCCGAGTATAGTTTCGGAATTTTTAGGGGCAGACATAAACGCTGAGGTCTAAAAATCGACTTTTCTATTTTGGGATTGAAAACTGGATAGTATAAAGTAATTTGCAGGCTAACATTTAAAGCAGAAAGTAGAACTACATGAATCAAAATTAAAGCAGCATTTTAAAACTTAATACGTAGACCAAATAAATGTATAAAAGCGTTTTTTAAAAGAATCAGATATCTTACCCTAAATCAAAATTTAC